AATTAACACATGAGAAGGCGAGACAACAACAGATTGTGTGTAGACTGCACGTCGTACCCGTCAAGTCCCAACAATGGACAAGAGGCATAGCGGTGCAACAATTCACTCTCAGCCATGTGGAACGACCCCACATGCATCAGAAAGGCATAGGGCAGCTGCACGGCTACACTGCACTACAATAATTCAACTCTCAACTACACAGATATACAGTAAGCAAGTGCAACACACACACACACACAATCAATTATTTATTATTTATTCAAACACAAATATGAAACAATATGGACATCAAGAGATGCCTTACATACAATCAATACTTCACGTACAGTCTCCATATATGTATATGTATATACGGCCGCTAATCAGTGCACAAATGTGTACTCAGGAAACTATCAACTCTGCACATAACACACGTGAAAAATGTGCTCCTCCTTGACCTCATACCTACTTAGAAAGCCGAATAGCACAAAATATTTACGCATGTGCATCAATTGCACTGCATCTATATCAGCTGACTAAACGACATCGTACACACATATGAACGATGCAGTATGACAGCTAGCAAAACATAGGTGAATCATAGCACAAACAGAAACTCACTCTCTCTCTCTCACACACACACATACAAACATACACAAATACATGGCTACACAACATACAATACAACATACTAACAACAGAGGAGAAATTCCATGTCGCCTACACATCGTACCCGTCAAGTCCCAACAATGGACAAGGGGCGTAGAAGTGCATCTATTCACTCTCAGCCATGTGGAACGACCCTCCATGCACCATATATGCATGAGGCAGCTGAATGGCTACTCCGTCTACCTACCAAAACACATGACAAACAACACTACTGCATACACGTACGTCATCATCATCAACCAAACCAATCTATGACACACTGAGACTCTCACAGACACACAGTCACAGGAAAATCGCGGATTCACAGATTGTCAGGATTAACCGAACATTGAATCTCAAGTCATCGCTTACACAGAGATGGGTCTCCACGGGTAGGCTGAAAGTCATCGGTTTCATCCCTAGAAGGTGAAAAGGTTGAGTACTGATGAGGAGACAGCAACTAAGGTGAATCATCTCTGTCAAGTCAATTCGTTTCTCATGGGCTTTTCGGGAAGTAGTCTCTCGCAACAAAATCTACTTCAACATCGTATAACTCTTAGCATCAGGGTCTAATCGACAAACCCACTGCAACGACTAGGCGTAAATACTTCACATCACATTACAACCACCCTCAACGTTCATCATCATGACATAAACCAAAACACATACAATCATCGTGGACAGTTTGCAATTAACACATGAGAAGGCGAGACAACAACAGATTGTGTGTAGACTGCACGTCGTACCCGTCAAGTCCCAACAATGGACAAGAGGCATAGCAGTGCAACAATTCACTCTCAGCCATGTGGAACGACCCCACATGCATCAGAAAGGCATAGGGCAGCTGCACGGCTACACTGCACCACAATAATTCAACTCTCAACTACACAGATATACAGTAAGCAAGTGCAACACACACACACACACAATCAATTATTTATTATTTATTCAAACACAAATATGAAACAATATGGACATCAAGAGATGCCTTACATACAATCAATACTTCACGTACAGTCTCCATATATGTATATGTATATACGGCCGCTAATCAGTGCACAAATGTGTACTCAGGAAACTATCAACTCTGCACATAACACACGTGAAAAATGTGCTCCTCCTTGACCTCATACCTACTTAGAAAGCCGAATAGCACAAAATATTTACGCATGTGCATCAATTGCACTGCATCTATATCAGCTGACTAAACGACATCGTACACACATATGAACGATGCAGTATGACAGCTAGCAAAACATAGGTGAATCATAGCACAAACAAAAACTCTCTCTCTCTCACACACACACACACATACAAACATACACAAATACATGGCTACACAACATACAATACAACATACTAACAACAGAGGAGAAATTCCATGTCGCCTACACATCGTACCCGTCAAGTCCCAACAATGAACAAGGGGCGTAGAAGTGCATCTATTCACTCTCAGCCATGTGGAACGACCCTCCATGCACCATATATGCATGAGGCAGCTGAATGGCTACTCCGTCTACCTACCAAAACACATGACAAACAACACTACTGCATACACGTACGTCATCATCATCAACCAAACCAATCTATGACACACTGAGACTCTCACAGACACACAGTCACAGGAAAATCGCGGATTCACAGATTGTCAGGATTAACCGAACATTGAATCTCAAGTCATCGCTTACACAGAGATGGGTCTCCACGGGTAGGCTGAAAGTCTTCGGTTTCATCCCTAGAAGGTGAAAAGGTTGAGTACTGATGAGGAGACAGTAACTAAGGTGAATCATCTCTGTCAAGTCAATTCGTTTCTCATGGGCTTTTCGGGAAGTAGTCTCTCGCAACAAAATCTACTTCAACATTGTATAACTCTTAGCATCAGGGTCTAATCGACAAACTCACTGCAACGACTAGGCGTAAATACTTCACATCACATTACAACCACCCTCAACGTTCATCATCATGACATAAACCAAAACACATACAATCATCGTGGACAGTTTGCAATTAACACATGAGAAGGCGAGACAACAACAGATTGTGTGTAGACTGCACGTCGTACCCGTCAAGTCCCAACAATGGACAAGAGGCATAGCGGTGCACCAATTCACTCTCAGCCATGCGGAACGACCCTTCATGCACCATATATGCATGGGGCAGCTGAATGGCTACTCCGTCTACCTACCAAAACACATGACAAACAACAACACTCCTGCAAACACGTACAACATAATCAACCAGTTCAAGCGGGCAAATAAGCGAACACAAAACATACCCCACTGTATGTCGATTTGGATGACAGAGTTTGCAAATAACAAATCTGCATGTGCGACTCGACAAATTAACTCTTAGCCGCATACAACACTTCATCACTCACTACAGGTGTATTCACATGTTCCGCGGCTACTCGTAGCAACAAACTGCAAACACACACACACACACACATACACATAGACACATTTTTACGCATACAGATGCTATCCAATTCACACTTAGAAAAGACATTCAGAAGGTTGCAACAAGGTCATGACACACACGCGGACACACCACATAAAAACCAACACCAGAGACAGATCGACCAACTCACACAAACATACTTCAACAACTAGGCGTAAATACTTCACATCACATTACAACCACCCTCAACGTTCATCATCATGACATAAACCAAAACACATACAATCATCGTGGACAGTTTGCAATTAACACATGAGAAGGCGAGACAACAACAGATTGTGTGTAGACTGCACGTCGTACCCGTCAAGTCCCAACAATGGACAAGAGGCATAGCGGTGCAACAATTCACTCTCAGCCATGTGGAACGACCCCACATGCATCAGAAAGGCATAGGGCAGCTGCACGGCTACACTGCACCACAATAATTCAACTCTCAACTACACAGATATACAGTAAGCAAGTGCAACACACACACACACACAATCAATTATTTATTATTTATTCAAACACAAATATGAAACAATATGGACATCAAGAGATGCCTTACATACAATCAATACTTCACGTACAGTCTCCATATATGTATATGTATATACGGCCGCTAATCAGTGCACAAATGTGTACTCAGGAAACTATCAACTCTGCACATAACACACGTGAAAAATGTGCTCCTCCTTGACCTCATACCTACTTAGAAAGCCGAATAGCACAAAATATTTACGCATGTGCATCAATTGCACTGCATCTATATCAGCTGACTAAACGACATCGTACACACATATGAACGATGCAGTATGACAGCTAGCAAAACATAGGTGAATCATAGCACAAACAAAAACTCTCTCTCTCTCTCACACACACACACATACAAACATACACAAATACATGGCTACACAACATACAATACAACATACTAACAACAGAGGAGAAATTCCATGTCGCCTACACATCGTACCCGTCAAGTCCCAACAATGAACAAGGGGCGTAGAAGTGCATCTATTCACTCTCAGCCATGTGGAACGACCCTCCATGCACCATATATGCATGAGGCAGCTGAATGGCTACTCCGTCTACCTACCAAAACACATGACAAACAACACTACTGCATACACGTACGTCATCATCATCAACCAAACCAATCTATGACACACTGAGACTCTCACAGACACACAGTCACAGGAAAATCGCGGATTCACAGATTGTCAGGATTAACCGAACATTGAATCTCAAGTCATCGCTTACACAGAGATGGGTCTCCACGGGTAAGCTGAAAGTCTTCGGTTTCATCCCTAGAAGGTGAAAAGGTTGAGTACTGATTAGGAGACAGTAACTAAGGTGAATCATCTCTGTCAAGTCAATTCGTTTCTCATGGGTTTTTCCGGAAGTAGTCTCTCGCAACAAAATCTACTTCAACATCGTATAACTCTTAGCATCAGGGTCTAATCGACAAACCCACTGCAACGACTAGGCGTAAATACTTCACATCACATTACAACCACCCTCAACGTTCATCATCATGACATAAACCAAAACACATACAATCATCGTGGACAGTTTGCAATTAACACATGAGAAGGCGAGACAACAACAGATTGTGTGTAGACTGCACGTCGTACCCGTCAAGTCCCAACAATGGACAAGAGGCATAGCGGTGCAACAATTCACTCTCAGCCATGTGGAACGACCCCACATGCATCAGAAAGGCATAGGGCAGCTGCACGGCTACACTGCACCACAATAATTCAACTCTCAACTACACAGATATACAGTAAGCAAGTGCAACACACACACACACACAATCAATTATTTATTATTTATTCAAACACAAGTATGAAACAATATGGACATGAAGAGATGCGTTAGATATAATCGATGCTTTTCTGGAATTCCCCGTATATGCATTTATGTATATATATATATATATATATATATATATATACATATATATTTACGGTAAACATGGCCACCAATGTATGCAGAAATGTTTACTGAGGTAAGAGTTAACTGTGCAACTGACGCATTTTTTGAATGCTCTCGCTTGTTGACTTCACTGCTCGAACGATGATTCAATGATTAGGATGTGTTTATGTTTTTTTGGGTGGGTTTCATGTGTGGGGTATTTTTGGCTTTTGGAGGATCTTTTTAATTTTGTGTTTGGTTGTGTATGTGGAGGGTGGTGTTGCTCAGTTGATGTCTGAAGGGTGTGGTTTGGTTTGAATTTGTAATGGGTCTGTTTGAAGACGATGAGTTTTCGTTGATTAGGTGGAGGTATCTTTTTTGATATTTGGTTATGCCGCTTACTGGGGTGCCATGAATAGAATTCTACTAGCCTTCAAACCTTGGAATTTACATTAATGCTCTTCGTAATAGTGGAAATCCTGGCCAGATGAAGTATATATATGCTTTGTGTCTACACACATTGATTTATGATGACTTGTGTAAGATGACTTAAGTCATCATCAGATGAGTTGCATTTAAAGTGAATGACATACTTGCAATTTGCTTTTTCGAACTGTTATGGTAATGTGATGTAAAGAACGCTTTATCCAGTTTATGTTTAGCCGTTGTCTCTAATTTATTCCTCGTCTATTACTATTTTTACTATTTATTACAGCTCATCTGGTACCTACATATTATTAAACTTTATTTAAATGAATAATTTCAACTTGGGATTTTGAGCTGCCGAAAGGAATTTAAATTATCTTATGTAGATACAAACAGACAGTGAAAATGCATTATACATCTGCACATGAAATACATACCCTCTCATAAATCCTGCAGCCACCATTGCTGCCGCTGTTGCGGCGGCATCTCCTGCAGGTCCAGCGTTTGGTCCACCTGCTGTCTGACCACCGGTCGCAGCAAGCATGGCTGCTGCAGATGCATGAGGGAGACCTCCAGCTAATGCCTGATTCACGGATGCTGACTGAGTACCTCCACGTCCTGTCACCGTAGCTCCAGAAGCACCACCACCAAAAATTCCAGTTGCGAGTATATTATTCTATTTAAAAGGTACAATGTGAATACTTATATATTTTGAAATATAAAGTTAACTAAATAAAGCCGTATAAATACAGTGAAAGATATTTACTCATCGACCGAAAGTTCACATGCTTATTTGATGAGCTGAACATGTAGCAAACTGATGACCGACATTTTCCAAACCCATATGTTTCCAGTTACGGATAAAATTACTGAACAAACAGGTAATAGGTTCAAATACGTCTGTTTCTTTCTAAAAGGTAAGAAAAATAACTTGAACACATAAAGTCGTCGACCTAGTGGTGAAAATCAAGTGTCTTCAGGTTATTCCAAAGGAACATAACAGTCTGATGTCCTTTCCGCAGACTTATTAAACAGGAGCGAAACGGTGGAACAATGACCATTAAAATTTTTGGATGTGTTACTGATAAAACTAGAATATGACACCTACAACTACTTTGATTTGGGATACCAAAACAGCTCAGGAAAACATGTTGGTTTGTTATTGTGATGGTTTGTACCAGCTAGACAACTGTCCTCATGTATCCCAACCCATATAGTTGGTATAGCTCAGAGATAGTTGCGTAAGCCTACATAGAGTGACCCTTAGTTTAATTTAATTTGTGGATGGTGACTAGTAGTGCAATCCAGGACGCGCATTTCGTCCTATTTGGGACTTTTCATCTGGATGTACCTGTATTTCCCAGTGAGTGACAATGTTCCCACCAAGGCTCGAACCCAGTGCCCATAGTTTTAAACACCAAAGCGTTACCCACTAGACCACTTGGGGACGTCACTCACTGCGAAATGCAGGTATATCCAGTTGACGAGTCCCAAATAGGACTAAATGTGCATCCTGGGTTCCACTGCTAGTTACCATCCACAAATTAAATTCTAATGGAATGCCCAGGCATCATCGAAGCATCTGCACAAGAAGCCGGCAAGTCAACCTGAGAGTGAGCACTTCAGTCCAATCAATCGATAGGAAAATCTGAAATTCAACTAAACCTTGATTCAACTCCTTGTTTAAAAAGAATCATATGAAAACTGAATAATAATCCTTCAAAAAAATTTTGGAACCAGGTATTTAGATCAATCACAGAGACCAGGGATCACTACAAATGAATTTGATTATTCTGAACTCAATATAGCGCCGTGACCTGTGCACAAAACAACTGCGTATCAAGACAGTAGATATAATAAGGTGAGCAACATGGAGGTTAGGCGTAGAGTTCTAGGTAAACAGGGGAAATCAATCGACGAAGTCGTGAAGCTACAAAGACTGAGATGGTTAGGACATGTGTTACGTATGCCTAGTTAGCGATCGCCTTCCTCGACGAGCAATGTTAGCGGATATAGGGTCAGGCTGGAAAAAAGCTAGCGGCGGTCAAACAAAAACTTGGCACCAGTCAATGAAATCCACAACAGTTGGTCTAAGCCACGTAGAAAGGTGTAGACTTCCAGGCTGGGGTCCTCGGGACGGTAAAAATCTATGGTTGGAAACAATTGGTGATATGGCTCAAAACCGTTCTCAGTGGCGCAGATGCATCCACTCCCTGTGACTTATGATCTTCAATGAAACTGTTTTGTATTTCTTTATTACTCCTTTGTATCACACCTCTGCTCACTGTTTCTATTATGCTTTTCTTGTACTTTCTTCTCTTGCTTCGCGTGCTACACGGAATGTGGCGACTTGAACTTCCGCACATTTGTGCAAAGTTCTATGTCGAAAACAGACAGACAGATATAATAAGAAATTTGAAAGTCAAGTGCTTTAGGACTCTCGATAAGCAGTCAACCTACTTGCTAAGTATCACACTGAGGGGTGAGAAGGGAATATCTAGCTATGAACTCAGCAGATCATTCCTTAATACCAAACAAATATTTCAAATGAAAGCTTTCTTTTGGCTCAGGTAGCAGGTTTCGGGTGCTTCGTAATTGTGCTTAGATAATTTTATACTGCAATTTGAGTATTTACAAATTTGAACTATAAAGGTGTCTGTCAAGAGAATGACGGTTTTAAATTGAAAGCACCGCAATCGGTGCGTATGACTTACTTAACAAATAAGAATCGAATATGAATCTGAGGGCATTACAGTAACTTCTTGTCACACTAAGCTTGAATTTATGAACCTGTTAAGGTCGAACCTAGATAGTGGCACTTGAAGATGACATGGAAACGAAACTTTATGAAAATTCATCTTATATTTTGATTCTTTACCCACGTCAAGTGGGGACGCATAGCTAACAGGAGAGTTTCACTACAAAAAAAGTGATACACATGGAAAATTTATCAGGCATTTCAACTGAGAAATATACTAGGCGACTTACGTAGGATTAATAGTGACTATTCAATTAGTCTAACTCCTATCAAGAGATTGATCTCCCAGGTATACATTTATTTACTCAATGGGCTAATAATAAACCTTTTGCATCGGTGGGACCGAATGAATGACTGCTCGAACAAGCAATCTCTACATTTAACTACGAAACATACTATACTTTAAGAAATCTAAACCTTTTGAAGCACTTTTAAACAAACGGATAATCATCATGAACTCACCTGAGCATAGTTTGTGTTCGCGACATTATTTCTATTACGAACAAGATTCAGACCGGATCCATGATTACCTAAACCCCAACCTCCATACTCAAGAGACATTGATTCATCTACATTCCGAGCATCATAATTCTGTCGAGAGCCTTTAGGCGGAGCTCCCTAAGAAAAGCAATGTATGATACAAAAATGTACCTCAAGGAGTTCAGCTATGGATCGTAAGCATTCAATAACTTTCCCAACGTCACCAACAAGTTGTATCACTCTGTCGGTTGAACAAGGACACAGCATCTGATAGACTTTGAGTGTATGAAGACCCGATTGCTGGATATTTAAATAAATATTAAAAGCTTTAAAATACCTCACGCAGTTCTTTTATTTTATATCCACCTCTCCCAATAACACATCCTGCCTGACTTTGATGCACAAGTAAGCGCAAGTCAACCGCATCTTCACGATTACTTTGCATCTATATAGGGGTAAAAAGGATATTCTAATGGCAAACCTTTTCAAGATTCTCTCTGAATATTTCAACGATTGATCCAAGGTCGCCATCCAAGACAAGGACCCTTTAGATGAAAAAATATTAGATTATAATAAATTGAGAAATATGTCATATGGGACATGAAAATATACCTCTCAGGGCCGTTGCTATCGGGAATGGTAACTTTAACGGAATACTAATGGTACAAACAAGAGTGAGAAATGACCCACCGGGAGTGGACCGGATTAGTGAGTGGTGCGAAAAGCAGATGAACAATACGGGGCAGGGTAGGGTGGGTTACGAACCATTGGTTTGGACACATTGATATTCGGACAGGCCAAGAGTAGGACAAAACCAGAAATGAAAGAGAAAATAAACTTGCAAGTTAGGACTGAGAAAGTTGTAAGACAGAAGGGCAAGCAATATTTGAGCAAACATTTACCTCCTCGCGGATTTTTTTAATATTTTCACCCCCTTTCCCTATTATAACACCTGCTGCCTTTAATATCAGTTAACAGCGACAAAAGTAAACTTACTTTCGTTGATATTAGAAACCGTAATTCCACCTTTGGCCCTTCTCCACGTCTCATGGTCCACGGTCCCTAAGTTAGACCGTTAGGAGAGTCCAGAATGTATTATTTAGTCCCTGGACAGGTCAGACAACCTAATATACAATATCCAGGGTGACGATAAACTCTACACCGACCATAACTCAGGTCACCTCATCAACAAGGTTAAACAACGCTCAGATGTTCAAAATCCAAGCGACCTTTTCAGATCCCATTTTTGTCTAAAAGCAAGGGAATAGAAACCTATAGTAACCCCTTTTTACCAGGCCGATTCGCTTCCTTCATTAAATCTTTTGAAGATAAAGAACCCACTCATCCCAGCATTCCGTACCTTGGGTTAATAACCCCGTGGAACAACTCGTCAGTATGATACTTACTACATACTGTTAAGGAAAGCAGGCTTCAATTCTATATTAAATCTCCAAAACCATTTTATGTCCGAGATCCAGTGTGATTTGAATTGATTAACAAATTTTTTATACGATGTATTCATGTAGAATTTCTTTGGCTCACAATTCCATACTAGAAATGAACTAAGGGGTGTAGATGATTTGACCGTGGCCTTTAGGCTTTGAGGTGATTTCCTTCCAAACAATCAGTTCTAGAGGGAGGCCATAAGTAGGGAAAACCAGCACCTTGATATTTGCTGAACGTTTTGAGTGCCAGTATGAGATTACTCCCAGTTATCATATGATGGTGGGAATGAATCTAACTCATCAAACCTCGTTCTGTATGAGAGGCTTGTGAGTTCCTTGATCAATTTAGTCCCAACTAAATTGGCCATTTGCAGCGTGTCCACTTCACATTTGAAACACGGGACTTCTGCTAGGGTTCTGTATTCCGAATGAAGTCAGATACAGTTAGGATGTGATGTGCGAAATATATTGAAATCAAAGTTTGCAAATAACTAGTGATGAGATTACTACGTTCTGAAATTCTTCACAGTTTTCAGTGGCTTTAGGGTTATAGATGACAGCCACCTCTTGTATTCCTCACCTGCGTGTAGAGTATTATCATCATATTAAATTATTAATTCCTTGGGTTCCAAGTGGAACGTAGGACTTCAACAGCACATCTCAGTATTCTGCTGTTTCCTCTGGTAGCTTCAAGACTGTTCATAATATTTTTTCTCCTCATACTATCTCCCTCGGATACCCAACTCGTCATTTCCCATTCAGGTTCCACTGGATAGTCTGGCGCGCGATGGTCTCCTCGAAGTGTGCCCAACACCTCTCTTTCGACTTCTTCATTTTGTTGCGCAATAATTTCTTGGCTGGTTCCACCCCAGAGTTTCCTGTTAGTAATTCTTTCTGACCATCTGATCTCCAGTATGTAGTCAGCGAAGGCAAGTCTGCAGTAGTCTGTTGGAAATGATGCTGGAAATCCGAGTCTTGTTCTTCATGCTGAGTGCATAAGGTTTTCGAACCGATTTCGGAGTGATGAAGTTGTACCTTACCTTTCCAATTATGGTCCTGACTTACTTATGTGTTCCACCACTTGAGGTTGGAACGATGATGATTAGGTTAATTAAGTTACCTGTTTCAAATTTATCCCGTTGGTGGTGATTGGTGTTGGCTGCTGATGATGTCGGTTGGTTATCTTCATCACCTTATCTGTGTTCACCCGTAATCCCATCTTCGCTGTTTCTTCAGCTAGTTTATTGGTTTTCGACTGTGTCTTTTAGTTTGTATGATTTGAAATACAAATCATCTTCAAAATCCAGACCTTCTAGAGTCTTTTTACTGGTCCTATATATGCCTGTTTCCTCTCTGCCCATGACCTATCATGCGATCACATTTGCCGCAATCAGAAATATCGTCAGTGACCGTAGGCAGACCTGTCCTACCCCCATCTGCACTTCAAGAGACTCTCTAAGTTTTCCACTGTGGATCACTTCTCATGTGGCATGTCCAAATAGCTTTTCAGTTAAGTTGGTAAAGGTTTGAGTCAACCTGTTGGGGGGCTTCCTAATGTCTTTCAAAAATCGGCAGAATCTAAATAGATACTTGGTTGCTATTTTACGCTGTTTTTGTTAGTGACGCGTTGCGTTAAAATAGGGTCAGTACACTCAGTCTTTGGGTTCTGCATTCAGTGTGCCTTTTAGTCTCTCCAGGATAACGCCTTAAAATTTCGCCTGGTGTGCATAAGAGCATGATTTCGTTCTGGTTTTATGTAAAGGCTTCACTCCCCCGTCTTTGATAGTTTGCCAGGATAGTCTTCATTTCAGTTAGTAGGTACCTTTCCTTCTATCCAAGCTGTCTGCACTAGTGGTGTGAGGACATCCACTTAAGTTCTGGAACCATTCTCAGTGCCTCCGGAGACATTGTGTATGGTCCCACTGCTTCCCCGGATTTCAGTGGCCTTACGGAGGATTGGTGTGCACTGATATTAGTGCAGCTGTTGGTGGTATTTCTCGGCGAGTTGTGCGAGGTTGTGATAAATTCAACTAAAGTTATATGCCTAAATTTTACACGTCTGTTTGTATTCACTTTGTGTCAGTGGCACAGCGGTCAGGACTCTCGCCGATCATGCACATGGTCCGGAGTTCGTTCCTTTGTCGACGCACACTTGATATCTATGGTCGGCCTGGAAAATTTGGGCTAACGATATCACATGCTGAAAATTCCATACCTGTACCGAAAAATACAGTGTGGAATCAAGCTGTAATCAAAAATAAAATATTGATTTGTGACCCAGTTTTCCCCCACCCCACCTACGACTCTTGAAATCATATCGGTTGCTGACCGTTGTAGCCAATCAATATAGTTAGTGTCATTCGTGGTCACTTTAAAGCATATATACACTCAGGGGTTGTCAGTTATTCTCACTGTTGATACGAGACAGTAAAAGCTCCCCCGTCAACAGTCAGACTTCTCTTCTCGGCTTCTTGCGTCGCGTTTTCGGTGGTATCGTATAGCGTTGCTGCAAATAGTGGCTAGAACAATAGGCTTGTTAATCGGCTAGGTGGGAGATTCATTAGCACAACTAAAAGTATATTGGTGGTCAAGTTGCAACAGCAGAAAATAAGATATGGAAGCCAAGGTATATTTTCTATTGATCAAACCGCTATTTATATAGATACAGTTTTATATTCTATAGCCAGTCATTTGGCGTATGGTCTTGGCTCACATTAAACGATATGATATACAATGTTCAAATAGATAGATCATATTCTGTAGCTAATGCTGTATTAAACTGTGGGATTATGAGAGAATAACATTCCCTTCGAACACACTGTCTATATCACACCACCACACTCATCCCCCAGTCAAATAGTTCAAACTGAATTCGTTTTGGTCTTCTTGGTGCTGGAGCCTTCGTTTGCTTGTCTCGCTGTGTTCATTTCTGGAGCTCACTGGCGTCCACGCTATTTTCCTTGTTTGCATTTTTGATGGTGTATACATGACCCCATCTCGCTGTGGCCGTGTATAGTGCTTCCCACTTTGGAGGCAGCCTTCGTGACCCTGGCCCGTATCCACCAGTGTTTCGCTTATCTCTGCATTCAACTTGATCTGTCTTGAACGCTGGGCACTTCCTTTTAACCCTCCATTTGGATTTCACAGCATTTACCCTCCGCTTTTGTTTTGCGTTGTTGACTGGTTCTTTCCGCTCCGTCCGCCATCTCGTCATATTGCACTGCTGGTGGCAGAGCCAGTTCTTGTCATATATCGGCTGTCATGGTTTCCACCCATAGATCAACTGAAACGGTTCAATGGAGTTGTTCTAGCTTTCTTGATACATAGCTCTTGCAACCGGACTTTAAAATCTTCCCCTTAAAAACACAGACCTTGGTCTGTCAGTATTGCTTTGGGAGCATCGTGGTTTGCAACGATATTTCGACCCACTGCTTCTGTCTCCGGTTTTGCTGGTTGATTGGGGATCACGACTGCGTCTAACCAACGTGCGGCATGTTCTATCACTACCAGAAGGTACTAATTGCCATTGGACGTCCAAGGAGAATAATTGCATTACATCTGTAGACCACAGGTCAACCACTGCTGTCACTGAAAATGACTGAGGTGACGGTCATGTGTACCGGGCACCTATCATCAGATGACATTGCTTGCACGCTGTTACGTACTTGTCTACGTCCTCTCTCACACATGGCAAACACATGCTTTGTCGCAGCAGGTCGTCCATTCTTGCAACACATGTGTCAACGTAGTTGAAGATTGGACGATCGATTCATGGTTGTTTGCTCAAACCCAACTTCCCCATAATTTTCGCGGGAGTCATCAATACGGCAGTCATCGTCTCATCCTTCGCTGTTCAGCGGAAGACAGAAAACTATCAGAAGTATTATCGGGATTCATTGTTATAACATTTATTCTTAGACTTTTTGTATAATAACCCCATTGTTGGTTACATATTGGCGTAAGAATAAAGGATTCTCGAGTCGCCAATCTGTGTTCTGCTCTTTTGCGTTGGTTGTTACACACTGTTTTTGAAAGTCTTCGACGGACAGCATGAGGTCCAGCGTAGTAAGAGCTGGACATTGACAGTTTATGAGAGTTGGCTGACAACCTGCGTGTGCAAATCGGTGACGTTCTTGTTTCATCTGTTGGCGCAGGCATTGGACTATTACTGCTAATCAGCTTCCATCATCCTCCTGTCACGACAACACTCCTCATGTACTGAAGCTTAGCCGGTTTTTCTGTTTGAGTAGTAGATTTATCTCACGATTCTCTGTGGGGCGATCCTTCTTTTCGTATTAGTTATCACTTGTATGACGGTTTGGAGGGTGTCGTCCGATCTTTGACTCTGGACAGGTCTTGCTTTAAAGCATTCACACCATATGCTATTTCAGGTCACTCTGCCTCTTCCGTTCTAGATAAAATATCCGATAACACATTCTATTCTCCTGGAACATGAGAGATTGTGAAATCATACTCCCGCTGACGCAGCATCCACCTTGACAACTTCCCACGAGGGTATCTGACGGCTCTCAGCCACTGCAACGGCTCATGATCAGTCTCAACGTTAAAGCGTTGACTAAATAAATAGGGCCTCCATTTGTCTAACGCCCACTCAGTCGTTAAACATTCCCTCTCTTAGTTGTTGAATACATCTGTTCCGTGTGCGTTAAAACACGGCTGGCGTATTTGACGACCCCATCACCCTATCTGAGTAATGCGCCTAATCCAC